CGCTCGAAGAAAGAAGAGGAGGAGGGAAGTAAGAGTCGAAAGGTCGACTTGGAGCGGATACAGGTCTGTGAAACGGCCTTTCTATTAGTAACCCCTCGGTTTTTCGGTTGTTGGAGGGAACGAGATAGTAGTAGACCCTTTGAAATCCTCGAGCTCCTTTCCAGAACCCTCGTTCCAGGACCCTCGAACGAGGCGCTCGCGCTAGGGGAACAGCTGCCAGAGCAAATAAACCGGCATCCAAGGATATCGGTCTCTCGAGACCCGGCCGAATCAAGGGAGAACGAGATGGCGAACTTTCGAAAACCTTGAACGAAGGCCTGCTGCGCCCGCCGGACCAGAGACAAGGAGGGGAGGGGACCCTTCGTTATTTTTCTTCCACTCTCTTTTTTCTCTCTCTTTCTCTTTCCTCGACAAATCTACCCAGGTATATCTCTCCTCCTGGTGGATGAACTGCATCCGAGAGAATCCCACGGATCGCGATCTGAATTATTTATAACGACCGCCGATGGAAATTCCTGGCGGATGAAATTTCGTCCACGCTTTCATTTTCGCGCGATATATTCACGCGTTCAACCGGCGAGCAGCGTGTCAGTTGTCCGTAAAGGTAGGCGTTCTAGGAAAAAGAACTCGAAAGCGAGAGATCTCCGAGTGGAGGGAAGAGAAAATGAAAAGGAAAGATAATATTTGGCTCGTGTGTCATTGTGTGGAGGATAGGGATGATAGGATAATAATTTTTTGAAACTCTCTCTCTTTCTCTTTCTCTCTGATTCGCGACAGAAATTCAAGTTTTTTTCTAGAAAAAGAATAGTAGAAGAATCCGAGAATAAAATCTTTGGAATGGGGATAGAAACGTTATTGGTTTAGGATAAGGAGAGAGGATAGTTGGTAATCGATGGATTTTTGTCTCTACAGGAGGGGTTAAAAGCGTGACACGCGAGGCTACAGCAGGAGCTGTCGGTGGAGTCGGCGTCGGCGGTGGCGGCGTCGTAGCTTACAAACCAGTGGTACCAAGAGAGCTGGCGCAACACTTCGCGAGGCCGCCACGGCTCGATGTCCTTCTCGACATGCCACCCGCTTCGCGGGAAACACAAATTCATCATAGCTGGAATGCTAATGATCGTAGCCTCAACATATTTGTCAAGGTACGTAATCTGCCTCTCTCTATCCTTAATTTTTGACAAATTAATGGGGGAAAAAAAGAAATATCTGATGCAAACATTCCAGAGTTATTAATTGTAGACGAAGCACCATTAAAGCTTCGAAAAATTAATCAATTTTAACGGTCTCTTCGTTCGTTTCAGGATGACGACAAGTTAACATTTCACCGGCATCCAGTGGCTCAAAGCACAGATTGCATAAGAGGGAGGGTAGGGTACACGAAAGGAATGCACGTCTGGGAGCTGTTCTGGAGCACGAGGCAAAGAGGAACGCATGCCGTGGTTGGCGTTGCGACGGCAGAAGCACCCCTTCACAGTGTCGGCTATCAGAGTTTGGTGGGCAACAATGAGCAAAGCTGGGGGTGGGATCTCGGTAGGAACAAACTTCTCCACGATTCGAAGAACAATACCGGTATCACTTATCCGGCTCTTCTCAAGTCCGATGAAACGTTCATTGTTCCTGACAAATTTCTAGGTAATTATTCTCCTCCTTATTAAAAATGTAATACTGTGTCTCGATGTTTTATACGTACTTATGAAAAATATCTTTATTCTTTCCCCAGTGGTCTTGGACATGGATGAAGGTACGTTAGCATTTGTCGTTGACGGCCAGTATCTTGGTGTCGCGTTTAAAGGCCTGAAAGGCAAGAAACTTCACCCCATTGTATCCGCTGTTTGGGGACACTGTGAGATCACGATGAAATATATCGGTGGACTTGATCGTAAGTAGTCTCTAGAATCTAACTATGACTGTGCGATATAACGAATATCAGAACTGTAGTAACGATATACGTATTTTGTTTTAGCCGAACCTTTGCCTTTGATGGATCTCTGTCGAAGAGTGATCCGGAAACGAATTGGCAAAGATAAGATAGAAGAGAAAGTGAACGCGTTGAGCCTGCCGTTAGCGGTGAAGACTTATCTCCTGTATCGTGACAGGAGGTAACTACCGAGTGCTAGCTCCGTAAATATTACAACCACGATTACGACTGTGAACACCACTGCGCTATTGAATCGTTGCCACCACGACGCACAGGGGAACGCCCGCTACCCCGTCGCATGCCACCGAGCAGACCAGCCCATAAGCCGCTTGTACGATCCATGGTGTTTCTATCCATGTCAGGATAAGTCAAGACGAGCACGATCTTCGTGGTCGCGTACGTTATCGTCATCGTCGTCGACTTCGTCGTCGTCATCGTCGTCGTCGTCGTCTTCTTCGTCGTCGTCGTCGTCATCGTCGTCGACGTCGTCGTCGTCGACGTCGTCGTCGTCATCGTCTTCATCATCCGTATCATCGCTGGCATGATTATTCGTCGTTGTATCCATATGTTCATCATTCTCGTTGTCATTGTCGTTGTTAACCTGATCGTTATCGTCGTTGTCGTTCCCGAATAAAATCAAGATGTGCACGCTAATGTGGAGGAAAGGAAAGATTTTTAAAAAAAAAGACACGAACACACACGGGACACATACGCGAATCGTATCGGGACTAGCGAATTATTTAGGTGATATTGTTGTCTTGTGTTAACGTCTATGCGATTAAAATCGTGACGAAGTCTTTATCAATTGTTAATAATGATAATTAATAGAAAAAATGGCGCACGATGCATTTCGATAAGCATTTCGTGCACATCGCTCGGCGCTGTTATCTTCTTTTTATCTTTTTTTTTCTTTTATTTCGTTTCTTTTTTTTTTCTTTTTTTTTTTTTTTTGTAGTAATTTTTTTTAGTTATCGCGTTATTAAAACGTTCTGTGACGAAGAAGATACAAGCTAAGAAATAGAGGACCAGATTATATGGACGAGAATACACACACGTGGCTCGGATAGAGAAGAAAGATCGCAAGAAGGAAAACAGCTCTTCATATAGTTGGCCAGTAAAACGTTACACTTAGTCGAGTTTGAAGGCTGATAACGGATAACGTTTCGATTATTAATCAACAATGGGTAGCGGGCTTGTTCTAGTCCTGCCACATTGCGCGAATAAGAAACGAGAAGACAACGGAGTAGAAATAAATTTCTTCACGATTTAAATGAAGAGGAAAAATCGACGAAACTTCGAAAAGAAGATTTGTTAACCGCACGACGCGGAAACAATTATTGTTCATATACGAACTGTCAAAAAAAAAAAAAAAAGAAAAATGTGTGTACAGTGAAAAAAGCCAGCCGATCGAACAGCCACCTTCCAATAGACTCATTTTTCAAGTATTTTCTAAGCATGCTAGGTCTAATGAAATATAGTGGTATGTATGATTCGTGGGTGGACACGAAAGGGAACGAAAGAGAACTTTAAGATATACATATATAAATATATATAAATATATATATATATATATATATATGATTTAATAAGTAACACGCCTCCGATTTTTCGTATTTTGTTTTATTTTGTTTATCGTTTAGTTAGAAAAAGCCCCGAAAAAAGCATACGTATCGCAGCTAGAAATTATTTCTAAATGATATATTTTAGCGGAACATTAAGAAAAAAGGTATGAACCACGAAATTTAAGGCGTACACGATTATCGTATTTGAACAAAACTCGAGAAAAACAGGAGAGAGAGACAAAAATATAATTACCTCGATTAAGTTGATTGAAGATAATGAAAAGAAGAAAAAAAAAAAAAAAAAATAAGAAGAAAACGATGAAGATTAGTTGTACGTAGTTAAACATTTAGAGCGAGCGAACGAACACGGGCATATTATGGCTGATTAGATTCCAAACACGAATTAAAACTGTCTCGAGGAGAGAAAAAGAGCTACCTGAGACATCGGTGTGCGAGAGTGTTAATGAGTGTATTATAACGCTGAAAAAAAAAAAAAATCATCGAGAAATATGGTCACGATGATGATGATGATGATGATGATAGTGATGAATGGGATAATGATGATAGATAAAACAATTATATCGGGCGTGTTGCTACCTATACTATTAGCATGACAAATTATGACTGGTCCCTAGTAACTCTTTAATCTTACGTTTGTCGCTTAAGTTTAATGATAATGTGCCGTTTATCGGCGATGTCGATTTGTACATAGGGTATAATTATAATAATATCTATCGGTACGACAATGAATGTATTGTGGGTAGTCATTGTATCCAAGACCGTAAGGACGAACCGAATGCGAGAAAAAGAAAGAAGAAAAAGTATATAGAATTCTATCGCATGCAAATAACACAGAGGCAAAATTGTCAATGAAAACAGCTCTCCATTTTTATTTTCCATTTAGTCACTTCCATTTAATCTCTTTCTTTGGTTCTTTTTTTTTTTTTTTTTTTTAAACTTTCGAGAGACGAAAGTAAACGTTTTGCTTGATACCACGCATCGTTGTTCATTCTCTCTCTAAAAAAAAAAGCGAGTTTTCTTGCAGAGCTCGTCTTTTACAAAAAAAAAAAACACGTCTTCCAGTTTGTCTGGCCAGACATATGATTACATCTTTTTGTGAAACGAAAAAGAAAACTGTCCTTTTCTTTTTTTTTCTTTTTTTTTTCTTTTTTTATATATATATATATACACAAGTTTTATATCGTAGCCACGTTTCTTACCAATTAATTTCATCTATTTCCATCGATTTAAAAGCCGTTCTCAAAGACACGCACGATCTCGCAATCGGCAGCCATTCGTGATGCGGTCCTCAATACGCACACCCAAACTCGCTGTTAGAGCAATGTTCACCTTCGCTATCTTTGCTCGATTCTCCTCTCGGCCGAGGCCTCGGAACTTTCGGCCGAGAAGGGAGAACGCGAGAAGAGAAAAGGAACAAATTAAAGATTCGTGGCAAAGGAAAGAGAAGAAAGGAGGAAAGGATGGAGGAGGATCTAAACGGATGGAAATAAAAAGGAAAAGAGTGAGATTGTACGAACGAGCGAAACGAAAAAGTTGTTCGCACGTGTTAGTTGATCGAGCGATAATGCGCGCTGCAACGTGCTTCCTTCGCGCATCAACGCTCGAATGTTCGAAACTTATAGCCATGTATATTTCGGGCAACGTGTGTGTCGCGTGTTGTATCGCGTAGCGGTGAAAAAAAGAATTTACCGCGATCATAGTGACTCGACGTCTTCGTTGTGGTTATACGCCGTTCGTCGAAACTTCTGCCTCGTTTGTAAGAAAAAAAGAAAGAAAGAAAGAAAGAAAGAAGAAAATAAAACTAAAATAATAATAATATAAAATAAAATAGAGAACGGTTCTCTCTCGAGCGCGACGCGGACGTCGCGTGTATTATCTTGTATGCGTGAAATCAAGTGGAAGTAAACGGAGCACATAAATAGCGAGTAAAAGAAAAAGAAATTGTATAAGGTATAAAAAAAAAAAAAAAAACACGTATATAGGAAAGATTTAAAAAATGCGAGTGTTGGACACTCGTTTCTGGACGCGCGTTTCGAAAAACGAGAGAAAGAAAGAGAATGAAAGAAATATCACCGACGTTAGTGCAGTGTGAAAGAGAAAGAGGAAAAAGGAAGTGAGATTCACACACATACACGCGCGCGCGCGTCGAGAAGACATTATCTTTTTTCCGCGAATCACACTCTCCTCCATCTTGCTACCGTCGTGTTGTACCTATATTATTTTCTATAAAAAAAAAAAAAAAACAAGCGATTGATTTTTTTTTTTTTTCTTTTTCGTTTTTTCTTCGTGCGCGTGTCACGTTCCAAGCATATGAGACAGAACAAGAAAAAGGTATAGCGTTTAGAATGTTGTATATATTATTAATTAATGATTAATATTAATATTATTATTATTGTATCGGCTCGATATAGTTTAATTGATTAATCAATTATATCGTGTTAGTCGGCATAATTGTGGATTCAGTTTTTGTACGGTAGGAGAAACGATCTAATTAAACGCGATCGATCGATCGATAGTGTTGGATTGAGAGAGAAAGATTGGGCACGTTCTCTTTGTGGCTCGTCGTTCTTTTTTTTTTTTTTTTTTTTTT